AAATATTGTAATGAATTCCTAGAAGTAACTGTAATAACCACTCCTTTCCTAGAGATATCATGAATGTGCGTGTATTTGCTCTATAAATAAAGGTATTTAGGTGTGTCCATCATGCAGGCTAGGAGGGATGTTATAAAGCATACGTGCTTTATAACAACTTTGTGGTTATAAAGTTTGATTCTGCAACTCAATACTACTCTAGTTAATCATGCTGGAAGGGTTTTGTGGCTAAAGAAAACTGCTTTCCTTTAAGATGTAAGTTCATAGTAGTTACAAATGCATATGGCTCAGGTTCTGAAGAACATGTGGTTTCTGGATCTCATTTTCCATAGCAGTAACAAAAGCATGAAAGGTTTTCAGTTTGTCTTGCATGTCAAACTGTATGGTACAATTTCTTTTTTAACTTGGAGACTTTGAGAAACACTCCTAATCAACTCTCAAACTGATAGCACAGTACTGAAATACCTAATTAAAAACAAAAGTCCTTGTCTGAAGTCATCTTAGCTACCAGCATCATATCCTTTTATGTAGGTAGGCAATTCCTTGCCCTAGAGGTCAGCAAGTATACAGAATTATTCCAAATGGAGAGGAAAAAAAGAAAAAAAGACTGAACTCTGTTAATGACTCTCTGAAACAATCAGGAAAATAAGTACAGAATTATTAAAATTAACATCATTCAGTTTAGACAGAAAATCCTTAACTGCCCAATTAGATTACACCATCACTTGAATACTTTACAGGTAAGGGTTGCCTACTGACTGTCTTAGCTACACTACTCTTCCAATTAATGCAGGATTTATAATCTTGGAAAACACCTTGAAAAAAATTCTACAAAATGTAAATTTTTATTTCATTCTTTAGTTCTCCTGGGTGGCTGTTAGAATTCAGGGAAAAGACAATAGAAGATCAGGTAGATACTGTTCAAGAGCATTAGCCATAATGATCACACTGTTGGCAATTTTGGAGATATAAACACATAGCTGCTAATGAGATGTGTTTATGACACCAAAGCAAGATTATTTTGCCACTAAACATTACTTAAAGTGGTGATAGTGAAATCCCATTTTCCCATATACTGTAGTATTTAAAGGGGAGGCTGTTCTCTTAATATTAATTTCAACAAAGTTCCGAAGAGCCAAGTTAAACTAACTCACAGACAATATACTGAGTATAACAATAACATATCACATAACAGATAACATAACTGGTCCCTTGCTGGTAGAACTGCAGCAACATGCTTCATTTGTCTTTCAATACACTCTCATAAGATTCAGATATTCAGATACATCTATCTCAAGAAACATTAGATGAAGTTATGTGGGAACACAAATTCCTACTAAATTTTATATAAAAGGAAAATTTAAATGAACTTTTTTTGTTGGTTTTTTTTTTTCCCCTTCATGGAAATAAAAAACAACGAGAAATCTTCATAATTCTGTTTGCATCTGTAGCAGTCATCGTGACAGCAGCAGTTCTCATGGTTTGTTCACTAACTGAAAATAGGTGATCACCTTATTGATGCCTATTTAATATTATGCACAAGTGATTGGCTGCAAGGAAGGCTGAACTGTCTCAAAGGATTTTTTAGTGATACCATATGGGAACAAAATTGACAGGTGTCCCTGGTTAGGCAAGGAGTACACAAAGCATATTAATAAAACCTTTTAAAAAAAGTCTTTTGAATGCAAATACTCTGAAAGTTCAGCAGGAGTAGAGGCCTCAGCCCCATAGAGAGCTATAAAACATAGAACAGTGGCATTTCAGTATCTCAGAGCTCAGCACTACACACAGAAGACAAATTTTGGTATTGACACTTTCCTATTTGCAACCTGTTTTGAGCACCTTTCTACATTCAATACTTTTCATATAAATAAAAACATAGAAGAAACTGATTTCTTGGTCAAAAGTTGCATTTATATTCTGATATTCAAATAAGTTTCATTTGTTTATGCAAATTCTTGTTCATTGCTGCAAGCTTTTTCAAGAAAATATCACTGTGCTCTTTATAGTACGTATGGATGGGATCTAGGAAGCGTAGTCTCAAAATGTCTTGCTACATTTCAAGCTGCATTTAAAAGAAAAAAAATTAATTTCCAAGCCACTGAGGATTTGCATACTTTCACTAGGGGAAGGCTGAAGAGGGAGAGGGTGTATTACAAGCCAGACACTTTTTCCAATCTGGGAATAATATTCTTTTTCACTGGAGACAAAACCTACTCTCTGGATAAGACTAACATCAATTATGTGAGAATATTTAGAGTATTCAATATAATAGATAATAATTTTAATTACTTAAATACATAATTGCCTAACAACTAAACCCAATCAAGATTTTATTATTATTATCACTACCAGACACAAAATGAACATTCATGAGTAACTGTTTACTTAAAAAAAAAAACAACACACATACATGAAATTTAAAAAAAAAAACACAAACAAAAAAAAAAACAGAAAACAACCAAACCCACTCCCAACTATGTTTTATTGGAAATTGCATTTTGTGTTGTTGATAGATAATTATAAATTACAAAAGAGCTCAAAAGATGTGGATTTAGCAGAGATTTGGCACTCTGAGATCATCATAATTTATCAAATTTCTCATATTAACTAAATCTGCTCCTTACAGCAGTGCCCTGCTGAAGATGTTGAAACAAATCCAAGACCATATGAAATTTATGTTGAAAAAAGAAGACTCCCTCTTTTCTAGATTTTAATTTTGATAGAAAATCCATGCCATTCTCTGTTCCTTTTACCTTCAGTCAGTATTGCCAGAGTTATTGCTTTTGTGTGACATTCTGTATATTATGAACTCCTGAATTGTGGAACTGTAACCTGAAACAAGATCTAGTAGGTGTTTTACAGAATGCAATTACTTGAAACATAAGTGGAAATACCAAAGACAGTAAATGTAACATGCAAAACTCTACAATTTTCTTTCAGTTCCATGTATTTGCTATGTAGAACAACTGATGTTGGGCACCATCATGTGCATTCCTCATTACTTAAATAACACAGCTATCTTCCACCAAGAGGATCACTTGAGATATAAATAAATGCAATTGTATGATTCTATGGTTCAATTACTCTTCCTAAAATTCCACACTAGTTCATAACAACTAAATGCTCTGTCACAATTTCTGTAGTGCTCACCTTGAGATGGTCCCCCATTGCACCCTTGTAGCTAGCTAGGGTGAGCCAGGCAGAATGGGCTGTCAACTGGCTGGATCTTTGGGCTCCTAAGGCAATGGTAAAATGTTTAAAGTCTAATTTGATGTTGGCTTTGAGGGGCTTTACTCACAGATCGTTACTGAGGCTAATTCTGGGCAATGTCAGCAATGACTGCAAAAGAAGAAAGCTCCCTCAGAAAGTTTGATGGTGATGCAAAAGGAGGGGCTGATCCACTGGTAAGCCCAGATGCAGTTCAGAGGAGCTGCAACAAACATGAGAAATAGACTGAGAAGAACAATATGAAATTAAATAGTGACAAAGCTCTGCACTTGAAAGAGAAACTCCATGGGACAATATAGGATGGGATCAGATGGCTGAAAAACAAGGAAAGACCTTAATATCCTGACAAACAAGTTCAACAAGAATCAGTACATGGGCTCCTGGGCTGATGAAGGGCTACTGCTGCTAGGCTACCAGCAAAACCATGGGTAGCAGATCAAGGGAAATAATTGTTCCCCACTGTGCAACATCTGTGAAAATACAGCTGCTGTGTGTCCATTTTTGAGTTTCCGAATACAAACAAAATGTTGTCCAATCAGAACAAGTCCAGCAAAAGGCCATGAAGATGGTTATGAGGCTGGAGAACATGGAATACAATAAGGGCTTGTTTGGCTTAAAAAGAAAAGAAAAAAGAAAAAAAGATAAGAGGATACCTAACCACAGTCTTCTACTGCCTAAAAGAGGTTTATAGTGAGAAGACACTTCTTAGAAGCATGCAGAGAACTGACAAGAAGCAAAGACCACAGTCTACAGCATAAGAAATCTAACTAGATGTAAAGGAGAATATCATCAGGGTCACTGTGGTGAGGAACTTGTTGCTCACCTTATCTCTGGAGATATTTAAAATCTGACCAAGGCATGGCCCTGGGCAACCTGCTCTAAAATCAAAGCTTGTCCTGCTTTGATCAAGATGTTGGACTGCACCACCTTCAAAGTCCTCTCCAGCCTAAGTTAATAATTGGTAAAAAAAAATTAAAAAAAATCATGAAATGCTGCTATACATAAATAATGTAATATGGAAATAAAAATAATAATTAAAAACAAAAACCAGTGACAGAAAGAGTTTCTTTTTTTCATGCACTTTTCATTGAATTCTGGGAAAGACAAGATTAACAACATTGGACTTTGCATGTTTGCCCGTAATTTTAGAATGTGGATGAAGACAACATTGGAGGACCAACGTGATACAGTCTAGTCAGCTAAACTCATGTCCAGCATACTTTCTATGCTGAGGTGAGAGAGGATCTTAGACGAAGGCACCCTGCTGGCACTCTCATCCGAGAGCTCCTGGCAGAATCCAACCAAGACTCACTTCACTTATAATCTTTGGCAAAGCATGAATAGGATTACATAATGACTCTGGTCACACGATGACTCTGGTCCAAATGACACGTGGCCTGAAAACCGTAAGTACAACCACTTAATATACTCATTTATTATGTTTGTAATAAAATTCCTCATAGTGGTGAGCACATAAGCAGAGAAACTCTGCCCTGGAGCATAGCTACCCTTGCAGCAATTCCCATCCAATGGTGCAATGGCAGCCCCTCCTCCTTACAGCTTGACATTTGGCCAGTGACCTGTAAGTGTGTTTTAACCTCTTAAAACACTCAGAGTCAGGACTCTCCTATTTCACTGTAGTTCTAAAATATTTATCACTTTTCTTTAAAACAGTATCCACTGTCATTATTTTGTTATATTTCATAGTTTAAAATTATTTTAAAATCTCTTGTGGGTGTTTGCTTTTTGAATATTTTGTTTTCTCCTAGAATCTGGCTTCCTCAATTTTACTTGGCATTACAGTGGATACTGCTCATAGAAGTTCACCTTAAAAGAAATTGAAGCAAACCTGGCATGATCAAAAATTGTAAGAACTAAGTTCCATGGTAATCTATGTATGACTGTGAGATCATTCAGCTTTCTTTCTGAAACAAGAAAGTAAATAGTCAGCAAAATATTATATACTGTGCAGAGCAAATTCAAAAGCACGCTGATTAGAATGAGACTTTGCAGCAAGCTGCAATCAAAGTTAGATTTGGGTTTTTGCTTCTTTGGCTGTTTCATACGCCTGTTCATTCTCCAACACAATATTAGAAAATGTAACAAAAGAAAGCTGAATGAGCATGAGGAATTTTGGAGTTGCTCTTTACCTTCTCTGTCATTACAGTTCCTAGAATTACAGGGAAACGTACCCAGCTTGAATACATCTTCAAATTACTTGGCTGAAATGCTGTGTATTTACAAATCACCAAAATGTACTTCTGTGAACAGATCATCTTTAGAAAAAGAAAAAAGAAGCATAAATCCTCCTTCTTCCCATACAGATTGGAAAACCCAAAAGAATATTAACATAAAATTCAGAACTAATTCTAGTCATTCATGTCTTTCATGCTTGTGAGTCGAGCATTGCCTTTGCTCCACACCTGCCTTTATAATCACCGCAAAGTATGATTGGAACATCAGACTCAGTTCTTCTGTGATTAGAAGGTAATTAGTTTTAATTTGTTGTTAATGATAAAAAGAACCAGTTATGGAGGGTTGTTTCAAACTCTGAACCCCTTTTTTGCTGTGATTTTCAGCGAGCTCCATTTTTTATGATGATATAAGACTACTATTCCTGACTACATTACCTCTCTTGTTCATACAAGCATTAATCTTTCACAGATAATGTGGCTTTTTCTAAGGAAAGCCTTAAGCCTTAGACTAAAAGCACTCAATTTAGGTGCTTTAGAAATAAAATTGCATTGCAACCACATAGAAGGCTGGTTAAATACCTTGCTGTTCAAATGACTTGGGAAAATTAATGGACCAAATGGAAGTAAAAACCTCTATGTTCTTTTCTTTTAACTAAATAAGGACAATGTAAATGTAAAAAAATTGCCAAGTAGATTATATAAGCAATCAGTTGCTAACAATGCTTTTCTAAGTGAGCCAATATATCAACATTATTCAGAATTCTGGCTTTATTCAGGCTTCACTGGGAATAGCAATTATACCAGATAAAAATACTAGAATTTTCTCTCTTGTTAATTAAAGGACAGTAATGGATTTTTGGAGGTTATATATTAGTGAGATATTAAGATGATGTATTTTCAGAACTAGATATGAAAATCCACAAAAACATAATACCATTACTTCTGCATATCTCAAATACCTGGATGTGTGTTTCAGAAATGTTTAACACAATTAGCATCAGTTTCTGAACTCTATTCTGTTCTGTATGTTAAGCACGTGACTAAATACGCCTGTGAGATCATTTCAGCGCACTTCACATTTCTCTCCAGCTAGAAAAGATGCCCATTAGCCCCCTGAAAGATCACTGAAAAGCCATTAGGATAATAATCTCTGCTTACCAGACTTCTTTATTTAGACTTTCTTCACACTATGCATTTTGGGGAGCAAAACGTATTTATATATTCATTCAGTATCTGACTCAGAGCTCTTTCTGAGATCTGTTGATGCTACTAAATTACAAATTATAAGCAAAAACCTTTGAATGGAACTTTCAGTGAGGGTTGCTGATTACTGAGAGAAGACTTCAATGATTGTGGATTATTCATTTCGCCACTGATATTGAATGAAATTGAAAAAGAACACTCAAGTTCAAAAAACTGAAAAAGAGGTAACACAAGAGTGTTTATCATTACACACCCTTGGATTCCCAAGGACCAGCAAAGAAATGCAAGACCACTCTGGAGTAACAAATTGATTGACTGGCTTTCATACAGAAAATAACTGAGGCACAAGAAGTGCAAAGAGCAGCATGCTGTTCTGAAGTAACTTCCCAAACTGAGTAATCACTACAGCTGACCTCCCCAGGTATGTTTTCCATTCTCCATCCATAGCTAAGATTAAACTGGCTCCCATTTTCACAGCTGAGCTGGTTGCTGTGTTTAAATGAAGTTCATTAATTTCACCAGTCAGAACCAGGACTCCAGGCTGCAGAAGACTCTGTGGAAGATTCCGTTTTAACTTCCCAAATTTTGTGAGAAAACAAAGAAATTTATCATTAAGTTTTCCTGTAATTAAATGTGCTGCTAGAAAAAGTATCTCTTAAAGAGTAGCCTAATGTTCCAAAATTTCTTGCCTTCTGTGAATGAGAGCAATGCTTCTTTTCAGATGTTACATTCTCTCCAACAGCACATCTCTCATATGAAAATTAATGTGCCCTGCTTGATAACCTCTGCAATAATATTGATGGCACTCAAAATTGCTGCTTCTGTTTGATGCTGTTAGCTTTTAAAGTTATAAAATGTCCATCCACAATTGCTTTTTATTGATTCAGGAGTTTAGTTACATTTTGCATAACAAAATTAATTTGCAAACGTTTAGTTAGTTACTGAACATTTTAGCTAATTACAAGATAAAAGAAATATTTTGTATGAAGTGAGACAGGAAAAAAATGAAAGTAGTTCAGAAGTGTAGTTGTCTGTTAGCTGCCAGAACTCTTTAAGTAGTGTGGGAATACTGATCAAGTATAGAAGTCTTGCCAGACTGCAAAGCATCAAATAGTTAAACAGAAATCTCTTTTATCACACTTTTTTGATTAAAGAAAATATTTTGGCTAAAAGACACAGACAGCCTTAGTACATTTTCAGAAGAAAATAAATAAACATGTTAGCGTATCATCAATATATCAATATGTCACCTTGATTTCATTTCTGATACTGCTTCTCAGTAGCAGGAAAAAGAAAAAAAAAGAAAAAAATACTCATGTGAGAACGTTAATAGCTAAAGGTGTTGGGTAGAAGGACAGATCTCTTTAAAAATATTTGTCTAATTCCTATGAAATAACAATGTGAAATTGTGTGAAACTAGAGACTCTGAGTCTTCTTTTAATATGCTAATAGTGATTAGCACCAAGGCATAGGCTGACAAAATCAGCCCTCATCCAGGGCTCCTGTCCTATTCCTTTCTTGGACTGTTGAAGTTTTCTAAGGTCTGCAGCCAAGCACAGGTTTAGGTCAGAGCAGCACAAATGTACCTGGTATCTACAAAGTGTTGTGGACTTGAATGCAGGCTCAAGATGTCATATATAAACTAAACCAGACTTCAGAGGCGTAAATGAACTCTTCAGCTGTATGTGAAGGAGAAGCAATCAATCCAAACGTTCAGCAGCCGTTCACAGAATCAAATATCCAGAGAGGTTTGAAGTACAACATCTAAGAAGATTTTGTAAATGAGAAGAGCACAACATACACGTGGAAACACCAGTCATTCCTTTGATTACATAAGATACTCCAGGAATGTTTCAAGTCTGATACTCACAGAAGTGTATCTGCTTTTTACAAGAACAAGACAAATAATCTGTTATATTTGTCTGTGCTGTTCCAAACCACTTTAAAATGGTGCATTACATCTTCCTGCTTAATCCTATCTGAATTTTCTTACCCTTTGATTTATTCTAGCTAAATCGGTTCTGTGATAACACTGTGTAGAGCTTTTTGCTTTTATAAAACTGGTTTTTATGTATTCATTTACTTCAAAGCTCTACAAAGTGAATTACTAAACAAATTCAATCCCTCTCTCTCTGTATCTGATCTACTTTGGAAGTGTCCATAGTATGACGTTAACTGAAGTGACCTACTTGAGAGATAATTCCTCATTAGTTGGTTATGCAGAATAAGAATAGCACAGTCTTTTGAGGGCTTGCCTTTCTGTTTGATGATTCAATTTGCTCTGTATTCATCCATGAGACACCCTGAGATTTTAAGGGGCATACCCTACCACTCAGAGTGCCAGAGAAAATTGCTCTCAGGCATATTGTTCTCGGAGCTGGCAGATCTTTAGGGAAGCCTTCCTTAGGGCACAAGAGCTCTCCCTCCCCAGGTGGAGGAAGTCAGGAAAAAGCAGCAAGAGACCAGTGTGGCTGATCCTGCTGGTCAAATTGGAGAGCAAGAGGAAAATGCACAGGCAGCAGATGAAGGGACGGGTAACACGGGAAAAATATAGGGATGCTGCTAGGCTGCGCAGGGATGTCAGAAAGGTCAAGGCCAAACTCCAATTGGACTTGGCAAGGGATGTAAAGAAGAACAAGGAAGGCTTCTACAGGCACTTCAACCAGAAAAGGAAAGCCCAGGAGGGTGTAACCTTCCTAGTGAGCAACACAGGCAGGCTAGTTACAACAGACAGGGCAAGACTGAGGTACTCAACTTGTTTGCTTCAATCTTCACTAGTCATCGAGCAGATGGTTCAGAAGGTGGGGACCAACATGGTTTTACCAAGGGCAGGTGCTGACTGACCAATTTGGTGGCTTTTTATGACGAAGTAATTGCGTCAGTGGTCAAGGGAAGAGTCACTGATGTTCAGAATTTCAGCAAGATCTTTGACATGATACCCATACCATCCTTCTCTCCAAATTGGAAAGATATGGATTTGATGGATGGACTGTTCAATGGATGAAGAACTGGTTGTGAGATTGTACCCAGAAAGTGGTGGCCAATGACTCAACATCTGGATGGAGATCAGTGACAAATGGTGTCCCTCAGGGATCAGTACTGGAACCAGTGCTTTTTCATCTATGACAGCAGTGGGATCGAGTGTGCCTTCAGCAAGTTTGTGGACGACAACAAGCTGTGCGGTGCAGCTGACACACTCCAGGGGCAGAATGCCTTTCAGAGAGACTTAGGCTTGAAAAGTGGGCCCCTAGTGAACCTCAAGAGGTTCAACAAAGCCAAGATAAAAGTCTACACCTAGATTGTGGCAGTCCCAATTATCAGCACCAGCCAGGGGACAAGGAGACAAAAGAATATAGTACAGACCTGCTGAAAAGGACTTGAAGGTACTGGTGCATGGCAATCCAGACTTGACCCAGCAGGGTGCCTCTCAGAGCCCAGAAAGCCAACTGCATAAAAAGCAGCATGACCA